CAGCTGATTTAATTTGCAATGTGTGTTTGTCTCCCAGAGCAACAAACTGTATCTGTATTTAGTCATTACACAGATAACCTGAGATGGATTAGGAACTGCAGCATCACAGGCCTGACTGCACAACTCAGTTCACAGCAGCTTTGCTTCAGCACTGGGACTGGATCAGAATGAAGATCTGAGTGTGGCCCATATCACCCTTGAGAGGCCATCTCTCCTCCTGCTCACACATCGCTGCAGAAGGATTTAGAAAGGCCCTCTAGGACCCCTTCATTTCAAACCACAGGCCAGCAGTATTTTTGTTGGAGGGTGCATGTTGGGAGCACTCCCTGATTCTGAAAAACCTCTTTTCAGAATGTTTCATAGGGAATTCTGATTATTTGGAGGTGGAGAAACTGTTGTGAAGCAATGGCTCAGCTGTGGTGCACCAGGAATTCATCTCAATGAGTTCTAAGTGTTTATCTCTGCTCAAATATCAATATCTCTCCTCAAATATCAATATCTCTACTCTTCACCTAATGTATTCCTGTACTGATAGGAAATTACATGGAGCCTCCTTCTGAATTTTAAAAAGTATGAATTAAGCATGAATTAAGAATCCTTACAAATTTTCATGAAACAGAGACAATTGCAAGAAAATAAACCTTTGTTGGAAAGGTGCTATTTAGTTGTGCTTGTAGCCTTACTCACTTCTAATATAATTTGACCCTCTACATTTAAAACCAAACTTTTCCACATTGGAATTGTTTTAATAACAGAAGGGATGTGTTTCTTAGTCATTGATAGCCACAGATTATATCCCTGAGTAAGAATTCAGTCTTTATTACCATAGTAAAAGAGCTCCAAGACACAAGAATGTATCAAAGAAAGGGATCTTCCCAAATGTATGTAACAAAAGTACTATCAGAATAATTCTCTAAGTCTGTGCTGCTTCAGTATGCAGTTTTTAATCATTAAAAAGTGCAGTCTCTTGTAACTTGAAGATAAAGGCTTTAATGAGAATTTTTGTGAATGTATTACTTTCCTGTTAAAATACTTGGAACGCTTTGTTAATCCTAGTAAAGCAGCAAATGGCATGTAAAGATGAATGGAATTGAAGAATAGAGTCCTCCTCTGTGGAAAAAAAAGTACTACAGAGCTGAATGATAAATTCTTCACAGAAAAGTATAAACTGAGTAGAGTAATAGAAAGAATTCCTATCAAGCATGTCTAATTTAGTTCTTACTGAAGTAAAAAATGTTACAAATTTAATAAATCTTGATTAAACATTTTTTGATAATGTGGGAAGTACATTATCTGTACTCCTATAGGTGCAATATCCATTTCTACTTAGTTTTTAGATTTACAGCCACATTGATTGTTCTCACTCAAGGCCTAAATTTGAGTGATTAAAATAATGACCAAACATTTCAGAATACAGGAAATGTATTGTACCTGGTACTGCCTCACTGCACCAAATGATCATTTAAGGAGCAAATCCAACCATTACCTATGTATATTTATAGCTATACCGATACACACACATATGGTTTGCTTTAGGAGATGTGAAGGAAATACCCCTTTTCTATAAAATCCACTTTTAATGGCTGTGGGGTGACTTAACAGAATAAGCCCCCTAAAGATGATGGTCTGGTGTTGTAGAATAAGTCCAGATTCAGAGTAGAATCTTTCAAAACTCAGCAAATTCCTCTCTGAGTCCTAACTATCTTCGATCCTTATCATATGAGAGGGTGAATAACTCTTTGACAGCACCCATTTCTCTTCACTGATAATAGGGTACTCCTCAGTCATCTTGTTCATCTCTGTACCGAAGTTTTAGACACCCAAAGCAAGGAGAGATTAATTATCCTTAAATTCACTATGTTCTTTAAAGGATTAAGAAATGAAAAGCCAGTACATTATTTTTCTTACATACAAGATCAGAAGAAATAGTGGAAAATAGGAGTATTCTAATGCTGTCTCACTGTCGCTGCCTATTCTATTTATGACACCACTTTATAAACTGCCAAGTATATTCATGCAACCTACAGATACTCTAAATGACAAAATAAAATTAAGCATGAATATAGAAAAAGTCAAGTATTTCTCACGCAGTAATAGCTTTCACCTATAACCACATTGTAAATTGTACTAGACAAGGCTAATATCACATAAAAAATTAAGCAGCTAGACATTTGACTCATAAAGAAGTAACATGATCAAAGACAAAGGCTAAACGACAAAACAGTTTTACTTAGTAATTGTCCACTTACAATTATGAGCAGTAATATTTTTGTCATTACCATCATATTGATAAAACTTCAGAGATACAAGACTGTACATTAAACACTATGTTGTAAAAACCCCTGTAGTATGAGCTTATAATGAAACTATTGAATTTCCTTATTTATAGAAGCCCTACTGAAAATCAAAGACTGCAGAAATTGGTATCTTTATTACCTGACATCCCTAAAGGCATAGACCCATTTGGAAAAGAAGAGATTGATCTGCATAGCCATAAGTTTAGCATATCTTTAAACAAATACATTTGTGAGAGATCATTTTGTTTCTAATGGAACACGGCAAAATGTTCTTTTTGACAGAACATTTTATTCTGAGTCCCTATTTCTGTATTTTACCCTGTAAATCACTTTTATAAATTATGAGTGTTAGGTTGGAAAAGAGTCTTGACTTGAATAGGTTTTGCCTTTAAAGCAACTGGAACCCCAGACCAGATTCCCTTTAACACATTCAATATGCCTGAGCTGATTTTGGTTTCATTTCAACACAGCAAATAGTTCAATTGACAGGTAATAACGTGAAACTCGAGAGATTTTGGCCCTGATTCATGTGGAATCTGGAGCATTAGTAAGTCTAAAGTGTGAGAAACTAGTAGAGAAATTAAGGAATTATTCATGCTGATATTTACATGCCAAATTATTTACCAAAATGAAAAGTTTTTGCTATATTCATGAAGCACAAATCCCAAATCGTACAACTGTGCTGAACAGGGGAAGTTCCCTCTCTTATTAAATGCAGAGTGATTAAACATTGGAGACTGTAAATGCTGCTTGATAAAAATGGCTGGTGCCGGTCCCAGAGGAGATTCTCTCTGGCACAGACTCTGAGAGCTGGATTAACACACTGAATAAATAAGGATGATGACCTTCTAGATATTACTACTGGCAATTGCTTTGTACTCATTCCTCTGCAATACTCCTGTTGGTTTAGGAGGAGAGGGCACAACAAATTAACCACGAGCCATATGCTTAATTCCACATTTAAACAGGCCCCTTGGCTGCAGGGGGAGTTGCCACTCCAGTGAGGATGTGTTTTATGTGAGGGGAAGTGTCACACAGCTCTTCATCTGTAAATCTGTATATCTGTGTGTCCCTTCACTCCCACCCGTGTCTGGGCTGGGGCTGTGACGTGAGGCAGAAATGAGACTGGGAGTGTCCTGCTGCCCTGGTTATAAAGCAGCACATTGCCTGACAACTGGGAAACTGTTTTTACCTTATTTCAGTAGCTGGACCAAACAAAGAGCTGTTGGGATGTGTTATCCCAGAGACACATTTCAGGTACTGGCTCTGAGCTGCAGCATGCTGTGAAATGACTGGCATAAGCCAGAAATCATCCAGAAAAAGTACAGTTTTTCCTTCAGAAGTTTTGGTTTCTTTGTTATTTCAAACTGTGCATGACAAATATTTGATTCCATGATTCAGTGATATGAATACATATTTTCCCCATTTTCTCCTCACATGTGCCCTTTAATAATGTAACTCACTCCCAGCTGTAGCAGGGATTTTTAGCTGTAGCATGAGGTTTATCCTTAAAGCAACTGCTTGACTGCAGTGAATAATATAAAAAGCATATTTTCAGTCCAGCCACCTTCAACAGTGACCTAAAGGAATCACTCATGGCTAGAGATAGAAAACAACTTGGTTTTAGTTAGTTACCTTTTGGCATTAAAAAGGGATTTTAATGCTTGGATTGAAGTTTTCTGGCAAAATCTTCACTGGCTTCACTTGAATAAGTGAAGAAGATAACTTATTCACTAGAACAAATACTTACACACAATTCCACCAGAATTCCTTGAGTCTTTACCAGCATGGACAAATTACAAATTACAGAGGCTTTTGCCTGAAAGGCAAACTCTGTCCTTAGGTGAAGAGTCTGCCCTAAAATGTGATAGTCTGGTTAAAATACACAGGAGAAACCTTTGTGGTGCTCTCTGCACTTCATTTGACTGCAGCCTTCATTTGATTATTAATCCTCTAATGCCATAAATACTGTAGGAAAGACATGCTAATAAAAAAGACAGCACTGACACCATTAATCATGTGTAAGAGTATATAAATACTGCAGAAATCTCTCTCACTTTTAAAAAAAAATCAGCATGATAACAATTTTCTGAGAGACTTTACAATAATTTCACTGTGGAAAAATATTTATACTCTGAAAATAAAAGCCTTTTAAATGATCATATGATTTTAATTATCATTGTTACTTCTCTGACAGCTTTTAGTGAAATACTTATGGATGTGATATTATTGTATCTGCTCTCTGTTCTGTTTGGGGGAAGGTTTGATTTAGTTAGCAGTGAAGTTTACTCCAGCTGGAAAAATGCATTTCAGCCTTTCAGAGCTTTGTAAATCTGGTCAATCTTCAAATGGCTGATAGTTGGGCAAAACAGGTATCTCCTAATTAAGCCATTACAATGAGGCTGTTCAAATAAAATACTTCTGTGCCAAAAATGCCCAAGTTGCTTACATTTAGAAAAGGTTCAGCAAATAGCTGTTCTCTGATACAAGTTTGCTGCAGGGCACTCTGGAACCTCACTCTGTTTGTGGAATTTAAGGGCACTGGTGGAATTTACAGAGCCCATACACCACATTCCTAAAATGTTGATAAAGACTGAGTTTCAGTTACTTCCATGAAATTTTTAAAGGTCGTCAAAATAAACACTGCAAGTTAAAACTCATCACAATGCAGCATTATTTTTACAATAATCTCTATTTTCCCAGGTATTTTTAAAGCTGAGTTGTTCAGCCCATTTCCTGTGATGAAGAAATCCTTCCTAATTTTGAGTTATGGATAGTGGCATCATTCATATAGAGGCAGAGAATAAAATGACTTAAGGTAACTATTCCAATATATAACTTTGAGGGGTTTATAGCAATCGATTTCATGTTCTACTTACAAACTATATTGAAGGATATTATGTTTGTAAAAGAAACATTTGGCCAAAATCATCTTCCTCTGTACTTCTCTCTTCCCCCTTCCCCAGTCATACTGAAGTCTTTACCCTCTTTTACCCTGGAGTGAAAAACGACCCTGTTTCTGGGGAATTATCCAGTCCAGATCTCATCAGGGAGTTGGGAATGTTCAAAATATTCAAAAATACATTTCAAAATCGAGGCGTGCAAAATAAATAGTAAAATAATCTCGTATCTGAAAATATGGTTTGTACTGACTGTATGTAGATAATTGAAAACACACATGGGTCTCTTACAGTAACATTTGTTAAACCTACCATCTTCAGATATTCAATCCTGAGTATTGAACCTGAATGTGAAAATAAATGTAAGGTATTACATTTATGTATTTTTGGGTATGTAAATATTCCTAAATATTACATTATGCCTTCATTTTACTTTATTTTTGGAAAGAAAACCCATTTTACTTGCTTGTGGAACTTCAGCATTGATAAACAATTTCTCTTTGAAGCTATATAAAATGTCATAAACTTGACTTTTATTGCATTTCTATAGAGCTCTTGTCAATATTCCAGAGTTTGTCTTTTGTTTGGTCTTCTACTGTGAAAACTTTTGTGTCAGAGAACACACAGTCCATGTCACAGTAAGAATTTCAATTATATTTACTTTAAATAAAGCCAGGTAAACTGTTTTCCTGTTTCAGGTGATAGAATTTTGGGATTATTTTTATAATTCTGTTCCTTCCATCTAATATTTAAAATAGTTTCATCTTGTCTGGCATTATTCCTAATTTGTAAGCCAGTGTTCATTGCTTTCCATATCCATGGGTGGTACCCACTACACAGAGCCAAAGTCTTGCCGTGAGGAGAGAGGTGGCTTTGGCTCCAAAATCTAAATCCTAAGTCTAAATAACATTGTAGAAGTAGTTTTTATTTATGATATATAACTGTATTATCCTTCCCTGTGCAAACTGTGTTTTTGCAAGCAGATCTGTAATCAGAATTGGGTAATTCAATTGGTGGAACTCCACAGAGGAATGGGGCTGCCTGGATACAATGCCCTGTAGAACTGAGGATTTTTAATTCTTTTTACTCAGCAGAAAATAAATATATTTGGCTATTGTTTTGCAATGTTTACAGGGAAATTAAAACACCTAAATTTTTTCATAATCCTTGCTTTGCTTATTGCTGTTCTTATGGGTAAAATATTCTATTCTGTTATTCAAAGCTGTGTTGAAAACAGATAATTCATGTCCATACCAATGTCAGGATTATGTATATGAGTTTTAAATATTCACACCAAGTTTAACTCTGATATGAGAAGAAAACATAGAATATTTTTCCAATACAAACCATAGATTTTTGAAAGACTATATAATCCTCACAAATGTGTTCTAGGGCCCACTTTTCTCTGGGGCAGGTACCCTCTCACATACACTGATTACAGGGATAAATGCTAAAAAATGAGGCATCTTTAGCTAATAATAGCGAAGATATAATTTATAGTACTAATGGAATTTACTGTATGTACTGCTATGTATTATACTTTCCCACTGTATAATTTGTTTTATTTCAACTGCAACTCAAGTTGCAAAGGAAGGTCTGAATAAACATGAATTTCAGATGTTGCAACTGAGCACAGGAGTGTGATGATGGGAAATCATTTTGTAATGATCTCTTTGCAAAGAGCTTTAAATGTATGATTTCCTCCAGGGAACTCCATCCAAAGCCCTGCTGTTATTCGAAGGAGTGTGGCCCTTGCAGCATCATCCCCTTCACTGATTTGTGCCATATGAAGATTGCCCAGAAGGGAGTTTGCTGTGACCCCACCTATGCAGTTCCCACAAAGGCCAACACTGAAACTTCCCTCAGGGCCTGCCAGGGATTTCTGCATTGTGGAGGCTCAGGAATCTGATGGCACGACTTTTAAAGGATCATCAGTTCTATACAATTTACTTCCCTCATAGCTCGTGAATCAGATTACAATCAAAGAGCAATGATGGTTGGCTTTTGTACTTTCATTTTCCCTTCCAAGCTGTGAAACACAGTAAGATGCAGCACTACAAGAAGGAAGAAGAGAGAAGGGCAGAGGTGGCAAGGCATCTAAATAGGACCAAGTTTGTTTCTGTGGGTCAGCTCAGCAAAGGGACCAGCGTGTGTTTATGTGACTGTCCTGTGGAGCTGGTCTGCAATCTCCCTTACCCAGTACAGCCTTCCTTGCTCAGATTTCAAAGGCCTTTTTTTCAGGATTCCAAACACACAAATCAAAAGTCAAATTATTAACTCAGTTGTGGAAATTGAAACTGACTGACTCTGTCAAGTCAATGTTTACTATTAGAAATAGGATTAGATTTCATGTCATCACTCCAAATCTTGCATGCAGTGGCTGTGAGTGCTGACTGTGTCACTGTACTGTGACCGTGTTCGTGTGTTTGGGTTGAAGGGATTGGGAAGAGCAATTACCCCAATCAGGCAAATGACTAAAAATGTTTTAAGGATAACTCAGCCACTGAACATAAAAACCCCTCCCATTTCATCCTACAACTCTCATCTTTACTGTGTCTCAGGAATGCTCTGATTCATCCCTATGGAACACTTCATGTATTATAGTTTAACTTTGTATTTCCATCACGACACCAACAATTCGCCAAAACGGCAACTTCCCTGCGCACCAAGTATTGCTGACTCCTAAATCAATGTATCCTGTCTGCTTCCATCCCTGCTCTCTGTCTCAATTATTATTTTGTGTAAGATAAGAAAATCCCATTTTTACCACTGGAGAGCCAGGCTGCTTAGGTCACAAGATTCCCTTGGCTAAATCCTTGAGTATGAATCATGAACTTTCCCTAATAAGTCCCGGCATTCTTCAGATGATCAAGCGAGCTTACCAAGGCTTCCAGAGCTTTCCACATTAATTATCACCATGTTTAAAGTATCAAAAGCAGTAGCTGATTAAGAATTATTAAGACTATAAGTTGTTTATTCTTACTTTTCCTTTCCATCCTCTATTTCTCGTTCTCATGTGGCTTGATGTTGTGCCTGGCGATAATACAGCTCAGCTAATAGAAAACAACATATTGAAAAGATCATGAAAAATATAAAATCAGACTGAAAATTATCCAGGTGAAAAACTGGAAACAAATTTGCTTGCTTTCTACATTAGATGGATCTAAAGTAAGCTATAAATGCCCACGATTTCAGTTCAGAAAAAGCTTTTTTCTCACATTTAATATGAGGAAAATTGTAGGAGAACCAGACTAACAGTAAGAGTCTACTCTGCAAACTTAGAACCTCTGCAAAAGAATCATGCACGCTACTAAGAAGTCACAGTAAATGCCATGTGAATACATAAGTATTCTGTTAGAAATAAATAAGATAAAGACCTTAGAAAGAAAAAAAGAAATTATTTTTTCAGACTTTGGAGTGGAAACAGAATATTCATTCTGGAGTCAGAGTACAGAAAATTGCTGGAATAAGTGTGGATTCTTCTAAGTACTTTAAATCTGGAAATGTGGGCACAGGAAAGATTTTATATTCATGCCCCAAATTTAGGTACTAAATCTAGCAAAAGTAAAACAAGAATGAGTAATTATTACCTCATTAAGTTTAGCTACCAAAAATATTTTCTCATTTTTACCAGGATTAACACATCTAAATAAAGATTGAGTAAATTCCTCAAAGAGTATTTTAAGTGTGGTACAGCATGAGAGAATAAAAGTATATTTTGTATTCAGAAAAAATAAGTTCTGTACTTAACTGGCAGCTCATTAACCATGTGTATGTGTGGGTCCATTACACGGCACACCCAAGGCACAGTCAAAATCATTTGGGAACTTTTGTGGAGGCAACAAATATTTTTACAATAATAGTGATTAAGCCCGGAAATAAAAGCAGAAAGCCCTCAGAGGAAATGAAAAGTGAGTCAAACTCACTGGTGGTTACTTTCAGATTTCTCATCCGAAGTGAGTCAAAAGCACCAGGCGTTACTCTCCCATTCATCATCAATAAACTGCAGTGTAAGAACGCAGTCAGGAGAAGAAGAAACAAGATGAAAGGAGCAAATCCAAGGCATGTCTTTCATATTGTTCCCAAAGCTGACAAATTTGAGAAGAATACTCCTCAACGTAGCATTAAATAGGAAATTCCTCTTTGAGCGCTTCAAAGAATGAGTTTTCTAAGAGAACTAAAACCAGTGGAATAACAAATCCTTTGGAATCAAATTCAGATACTGTGTTTAGATATTTGCAAATTTCAAAAATGCCCAATAATATCATAAAGGTTCAGTACAGCCCTTTCTTGAGGCATGATTTAGTGACACGCTTGAGCTGAACACGAGTCTTGCTCCCAAGGACTTGCATAACTTAGCACCCAAGTTCAGGAAATGACTCTAAGTAATACCAACCTGAGTAAATAAGCTATTTGAAGACACAGGGTGCTCGGCATTGAATTTAATATTTCCTATGTACTTTATCAGATAAACAGAATCCCTCTCTGGAATGAAGGTGTCTCTGCAGAAAAAGAAACATTCTATTGTTTTTCTGACAGTACAGTTTACAGAAATTGTGCAGAAAATCTAGCACGTGTGGGCAGAGAGCTGTGCCATCCCAGTCTTAAAAACCCATTATTTGTTAGAGATAAGCTCAAGTCACTTAAGTGAGAGCTAGACATAGATAAGAAACACTTTTGGAAAAAACCTTAATGTATTCTTTCCAGACTTGTTGAAAAACACTGAAAAGTCTTATAAACACCTCATAAAACCATGCAAAAATTTGAACTAAAATTTTAGGCTACCACTCTGATGAATGTTTAGAGGAGAAGTATAAAGTTCTCCAGAAGTTGTACTGTTTGACTGTTAACTCTTTTTGTCCTGTTCCCCATTGCCTCTGAAAACATTTTGTTTTGTTTTTATGGAAGAGTACAAATGTGCTTTTCAGCCTGTTCCACAGTTCATACAAGAAAAAACCCCAACTCTAAAGCTCTGCATTCAACAAAACACACCATAACATCTTAACCTAATAAAGCATTGCCCTACATTCTGATTTGCAGACCTCAAAATTTAAATATTTTACTTCAGCAATGTGGCAAATTTACAGAAATTAACTCAAATTTTAAGGCCAGAGCACAGGCTCCTAAGGAGAATCTGTCTGTTCGTGTCTTCCATATGGTGTACAAACACAAAAATAATGAGGTATCTGAGCAAAAATACAACTTTTTATTTCTGAAAAGCAAATTATTATTAAAACTCTTTTAAGATAGCATTTAAAGGAATGATGATAAAAATAAAGGTAAGAATATAGCAAAAATTAGATGATTTTGAGTGCTAGACAACTATACAAGTAATTTCCTAAAAGTTCTATCAGTTATTATTAAGCACATCATTCTCTATGGCTCGTCTTTACCCAGAGAGCTCCATCAGGGATCCAGTGCAGATTGTTAATTAATTCTTCATATTCTCTATGTATGACTACATTAAAGTATTAAAAACCTAGCAATCTGAATTGCAAAATTTGGAAAATTACACTCTTCTGTCAAGTGCAGATACCCAGGACTTACATCATCACTCTCCTCAGTCAGCAGTTACTTCTCTTGTTTGTTTTGTTTAGTCTCTCAAAGGGACAAGGGAAGGAGAACAATATATTTTCTCTGAAAATATTGCTCTTAATATATCGTATCTGCTTCCAAGTATTAAATTCAACTTAGTGCCTGCAGTGGTCAGTAGAAATGAACTTCATGGGGCACTCAGTAAGGCAGCAAGGCTGCAGTGATTAAACACCAACAAACGTCACAGGTACTGTTGGCTGTTCTCTCCCTTTCTGCCCTGGGGGTTCTCTCTTGCCTGATGTACCAGCAGTTTGACATGAGAAACCCAACTGATTTTTTTCCTTATGCATGTAATACATTTTAATACATAAGTTCAGCAATGGTAATTATCTCAGTTTAACATTCTACACTTCTGCAAGCTGTGCATGATCTTCATTTAGCTCCCTTCTTTATTATCAGATAATGCATATGTATATGCACAGGATTCTCACCACATCCCACCACTGGTTATGGATTCCAAAAGCAACCGAGGTAATTCTTTCTTCAGAACAAAGAATGCAGCATGTTATTTTTATGTACCACCAGAAAAAAAAACTGATAAAGAGGAAATGAAGCAGGGGAACAGAAAAACAAAGTAAGAAACGAAATCCAAGTTTCTAATGCAGCGATGTAATGCCAAGAAACAACTCCAGAGAAACTGATTAACTGCCAGCTTTTCTACCTGTTGCCAAGAAAACGTTGCTGTGTTCACTGATCCTGTAATTAAACTGAGTATGTTCTGAAACAACTTCTGAATTGTGCCATCTTCTGTGAAGGGGGAGGGAGCTTCATTCCCATAATATACCAATAGAAAGATGCTTCTTCTCTAAAAACTAGGTAGAAGGGCAAGCTTGGTTTATTCATGTACACACATTCTTTAAAGAAAAAAAAATTAACATTTGGAAGGAGCAATCTTATTGCCTATGGACTTTTGGAGGGAAGCACAGAACTATAATTTGCATAATTCAAAATACTAATGTGAATGGCAAAAAGTTTTAATAGCCATCCTTTAATGTCCTTTAAAGACAGCAGTCTTGCTGCCTCCTTTTCTTTTATCAACATTTTTAAAAGGTGAGTTATTAATTGTAGTGCCTTGTAGTAATTCCTAACTAGGATTTTTAATATTTAAGTTATTTACCCATTAATTGCCCATGCTGGGCAAGATATTTGTAGATAAGTCTGACAATAAAGCAGATCACACCAGTACACTTCTACCACAGTTTGTCTTGTTCAGCCCATTGTTGTTTAACCAAGATTTCGTGAAGGCTGACTATGTTCTCTTCACCTCCACCGCAGTCCTCTGGGGTCTTCTGCCTAAGGTTTATTTTACTTTGCACAGCTTTTCTCCATTCCTCCTGCTTTTACATCTGATGTGTTACAGAAATGTTGGCTTTTCTTGGCTGAATCAGCCCTTGCTCTGTGGCTGGCTGTGCTGGGCAGGACAGGCCCTCTCAGCCATCAGTCACGCAGAATCCCAGAGCAACTGGGCTCGGAAGGGCCCCCTGGAGATCATGTAGCCCAAGCCCCCTGCTGAAGCAGGTCCACCTGGGGCAGATTGCACAGGATCGCAGCTTTACTGCATCAAGAAGTGTCTGGATCACCTACTGAAAGTGTGAGAAAGCCCTTGCTTCCAATACAGTTCCCAGTGTTCTGCAGAGGAAATCTGGAACCCCAACAGAAGACACCTGAGTTTGCCCTTAACTCCACAGCTCCCTTACTCTTTCTCTATGATCCTAAGTACACTCCTACCAAAGCATTCCTGTAAAATCATCCCTCTAAATTCTTACTGCTTCTCTGAACAGCATTCAGCTCATCCTGAGATTCAGAGCTCAACAAGTCAATGCAGTCCAACTTCCTCTAAAAAGTCCTTCACATCCCTGGACACTTTGCCACACTCAGAGGGAGCTCTGCTGTTTAAACCACCTCATGGAACTTTAAGCCACTTTACTGAACTTTCTTTTTAAAGATACAACATTTATGGAACTAAGAGCTACCATAAGTGAGAGCAGTTTTAATGCAATGTTTGTAATATGAGAGGGAATTTAATTTGTCTCTGTATCTAAATGATCAAATATGAAACATATTTTGGTTTGGTCATTAGTTTCTTCAGTCTTTTTCTTATTACCTATAATTAAGAAACTAAGCATTTTATTTGGTATGAAGCAGCCCAGAAAATAGCAGTAAAAATGTCTGCTTGTAAATTAAACTCATTCTCTAATTGCTTTGCTATAATTTACTAAAATTATCTCTTGTATGCCACCACTTAGACTAATTCTACAAAGAATTCAGGGGAAAAAATAAACAGAGTTCAGAGTAATAATATTAATGACTATCAAGCTCCACTATTTCCAGTTTTACTGTTCATTATTGTTAATTATCTCAACAGTGACTGGAAAATGATCATTAGGAAGGAAGACCTCAGAAAGCTGATTGAGGAGAGGGTGTGTATGCTTGGTAGCCAAAATGTCAAAAAAAACCCAAAAAACCAACCAACCAACCAAAAAAACACAGTAAAAAAAAAATGTTACAAATGGTCTCTGAAGATGACCAGTCAGCATGAGCTAGCTGGGAGACATTTGGGGCCAGTCTGTTTGTTGTTCATGACCAGTGCTCCTGTCAGTCCTTCACTGGCTCTGTTCAGGTCAGTGAGGCACAACATACTCTGCTAAGCACCACACTTCTAATCATACCCAAAACTGATCCCATGGACTAAGGGTCTCTGCTGCAGATCTGACCAAACACAGTTCCTCGTTCTTGTGCTGGGCAGAAGTTCATCTACTGGCACAGAATAGCCAGAGCTGAGAACATTCCACTTGTGGTGCATTTTAGTCACCATCCCTTCACACCTGTTCATTGCCATAGCTCTGGGACAGGAGGCACCTGAGGGGAAATACAGCTGTTGTGTTTGTGTGCAGACAAGCTGAGAAGCCTTTCGTGCCAGAGGTATCCTATACCTGTCAAGAGCATCTCTCACTGAGACCACGTCAGCTCCAGCCGGGGAGCGACTCCAAGCCGGAAAGAGAGCTACTTCCAGAGGCAACTCAGACTGCAGGAAGGCTGAGCCCTGAAAAGTTACTCACTCTGAAAGTAACTTTCTGATGATGATGCAGGACCTTAAGATGACTGCACCCAAAATTTACAAAGCAGCACCTACAGCTATGCGGGACGAGATGCGGCCCGTGAGTCACTGAGTGGAGGTGTGTTAACAGAACACATCCTCCTTAGTGCTATGGAGGCATTTTTCAACCTTACATAAAGATTCTTTTCTTGTTCTCACATGCAAGAAATGCTTGGAGTTGAGGGCTCCAGAAGACTTCACGTGTTGTTCTCAGTATGTTTTTCTTTGATCCCCTTCCCCTGTGCAGCGATGGGACTGTCAGGACGTGCAGGCTGACAGGTTCCCTCTGGAGCGAAGAGCTGAGCAGAGCTGGCACCCACACTCCATTTGGAGGTGGTGAGTTGCTTTGTTTTAATTCTGTTTTGGCTTGTTTAGTTGATGAGTAACAGATCAGAGTTGTTCAGCAGACAGAGAACTCTGCTCCTGATCTACCTCCAAAACAAACTCAGAAGCAGAGCCAGGTCACTCTTAGTTTGCTGTTTGGTTCTGTCCTGCTCTCTATTGGTGATGGTATCAGCACCATCCACTGACTCCAGTGGACATGAGTATACCCAGGTGGCACATTAACGATCACTGCTTCTATTCCTGACTTCAACTAATTAATTCTTGTACTTCTAAGCCAAGCTTTGCTGTTCTGACAGTTGAGCAGAGAATGAGCAGTTAGCTGTTGGTGCTGATTCATTATCACCTGTTGTTTCTCAAGCTGTCAGCAGTGACTCCATATGCAGCTCTTTACATTTTCACTGCTGAGCATTTCTACTTGCTATGGACCAAGTAGCAAAAGGTTTCCATAGTGCTATGTCTCATTACCTGATCAACCACTTTTTTGTACAAACTGGGAGCTCCTCTCCATCTTATGATTCTTTAGTAATTACATTCTAAGGTTCAATTCTAGCATTCAAGACACCAAAATAGAAGAAAAACATGTACAAGACCCCTCTGTGAAGTCCCATCAAGTCCATGATAATTTTTGAGCAATTTTCAACCACCACTAAATCTACAGCAAAACAAAAAACCATGCATTAATTTTGACTTCCTGCAAGGAAGGCCAGAAGGCAGGTGCAGAGTTGTACTGTACCTGCTCAAAGGAGACCCCATTCCATAAATACTGTGTTTTCAGTAGCCCTTGCAGTTGTCATCAGGAGAGCAAATAAAGCTGGCTAGGAGGCATAGCTCAGCCTGTTTGAGCTTGTTACAGCACTCTCATCCTACGTTTCTGCCCCTTTCCTCGTGCTGTCCCTGGCCACAGGAATCCCAGCACACTGGCAGGGATGTGCATGAGACGCCACCATCTCCCTCGGAGGTGATGTGACCAGGAAGAAGCACCTTGTGTGAGATGAGACATCTCCCAACTTGCACAAGGTTCTTAATCACATCATTTGGAGGGAGAAATTCAATCTGGCACACAGCCCTTAATGTATGACCTACATTGCATTTCCCTAGATAGTTTATAAGAATGTTGAGACCTTTTTCAAAAGCCTTATTGAAATTAAAATATACAAGTGCCTACCCCTCATTCAGAAGAGCCGCTCCCCTGTTGTAGAGGGAAATCAGACTTGCTTACCATGGTTTGCTGTTCACAAATCCACCCTGTTACTCACCTCCTGATTATCTTCTGGATGACTGCAAATTATTTTTCTTACTTTATTCTACAATTCTTTATTTTTATACTTAGTGAAAGAGAAGTGAGTTGGATTCCTGATTAAAAGTAATATTTGCAGTAAAGTCACAGGAAAGTTCACCTGTCCTTTGCAGTTTGTAACGGTAAAAGACATTTAATTTGATTAAGTGCTTTTAAAATGGATTTGTTTCTCCATTTTTCTTCCTGACCTTATATTGTCTTTAACATGCATGACTACCCTTTACAGCTCCATCAGATTCATTTCTGTAGCAGCTTTGTGTTCCACTGTCTCCTTCCTTTTTGACCATCCTCCACAGCATTCAAGTTCTTATTATCCTACTACTAACCACTTTAAAATCTTCCATGTTATTAACAAATGTGTTATTAATGGCACTGTTATTTAAAATTTGCTGTTCCTATTGCTAATCCTCAAAGTGTTTAAACAAAAACACAATCAGTTCCTGCCTACAACCCAGTAGAATAACCCTGTCACATGGTTTATAAAAAATGTTCTTACTATTCCAATGGATAGAAGCAAACCCTTTGTAGCTGCACATGACTTTAAAAAGCAAAAAAGAAACAAAACCTTGAGCTTTTTATACCAAGGCCTATTTTGATAATTCAAAACTGGATTTCAGACAAGCTTTGCAACAGGTGAAACTGTCTTTTTTAGAGCAGTAGGGACATTAAATCATCTTTCTGTGAGGCAGGTTGCATACTTGCCATTGTTTTATTAGTCTTATGGGTTAAAATTAATTGCCTGTTGCAGGGAGTTTTGGATTTCCTTTTAACTTCAATCTACGAGCTATTGAAACTAAAAGTGGTTTTCTCTATGGATGTTTATTTTATGTATTACCACATAGGCCATTTGGAATAGAACAGTAAGAAGGGCTTTTTCTATACTCAGAAGCATTAGTTTATAAGCAGAGGTTTGACACGTAGTGTATAGGTTAGTTCAGTACTTACTTAACCACATCCATTGCGAAATGCTGAACTCAAACCAGCTTACACAGGATTTGGTTTAATTTATCTCTGTTGGAAGAAATAAAACATATAATTTAATCCAAATTCCAATGGTCTGCTCTGATTTTTACAAGTACATGCCATCTAAAATGTACTAATAATGCCAAAAAAATGAAACACTGAATGTTCTTCTGTTTATTCTCCATGTATCATTTTCTCATTTTGGTAA